AGAGTGTTCTGGGAGGAGCAGGGTCGGACCAGAGGGACCCAGACTGAACCGGCGACAGCAGCCGTGGCTGTGAGGAGCCGGGTGGGGGGCAGGAAGGAAGCTGGGGACTCGAGTGGAGGAGACTGGCTGTCATATCACATGAAGCAGTGGGCGGCGGTGACCACCCAGCGCCTGGTGAGGAGGGAGCCCGCACAGTGGTGGGTCCCGTTCTTCTGGATGCTCACAATCCAGGGCCACTCGGCGTCGGCGCTGTCCTCACCACCCACAATCCGGTTCAGCTGCTGCGGCTTCCCGCAGGGTGGGAGCGCTGGAGGAGGAGGGTCCAGTTTGCTGTCACCCCCTCAGCATGGTCCTCGGCCCCTTCCCCCTGCCCATCTCCAGAGGCCTGTGCTCCACTGCCTCTCCCTCTGCCCTCTGCTCTCTGCCTGCACGTACCCCCTCCTCTGCTATGTCTTCCCCTGACCTGCTCTTCCTCTTCCTCTGCCCTCCCTTCTGGCTGGCCTTTCCCCTCCACGTAGCTCTCAGCCTTGCCCACAGCTCTATCCTTTTACCTCCTGGGCCATTTGCCCTTCTGGACTCCAGCTGCTCTTGGCCCGCTCTCCTCCACACCCGTCTCTGCTCTGCCCTCTGGGCCTCCTTTCCTGCCCGCTCTCTAATCCAACCTCTGCCTCCTTCTGACCACCCCCCGCAGACAGACACACAGACACTGCCCTCCCCCTCAGGGCGGTTCCTACTCACCAGGTGTCTTGGCAGCATTGAGGGTGTCTGAGGACAAGAGAAGGAAAGGGTCAGGCCAGTTTGAGAGGAGGCCCCCAAGTGCCCAGTGGAGAGAATGGCCCCCCAGTGTCCAGCTGAGTGGACCTCCCCACAGGCCCAGTGACCCTTTCCAGTCTCTCATTCCCAGGCCCCTCCAGGCCTCCCCAGGTGGGGCAGTGCCAGGAGCCTAGAGAGCATGGACGGACGGAACCCTCATGCTCTCATTGTGAGCTGAGCCTTGCACATCCCATCAGCTTCCTCCAGCTCATGCTCAGGATTCATCCCACCTGCTGCGGGGGGAGAAGCTACCCCTGGAACACCTCTCACGGAGAGTGGGCACACACCTGACCCTCCCGGGCTTCCTCCCTCAGACCTAAGTCAGCGACCGACCCGGAGACTCCCTTCACCTCCACCCCCAAGCCCAAGGCCTGGATGCTGCTGCCCCAGAAGATGGAAGAAACAGGAGGGAGGGAGCCCTGACCAGTGTGGTTCAGTGGTTAGAATGTCGGCCCAAGCACCAAAGGGTCAAGGGTTTGATTCTCTATCAAGGGCAGGTACCTGGGTTGCAGGTTTGATCCCTGGCCCAGGCGCATGCAGGAGACAACCAATCGATGTGCCTCTCTCACATCTATGTTTCTCTCCCCCCCACACCTCCCTCCCTCTCTTCCACTCTCTCTAAAAATCAATGGAAAAAATATCCTCCAGTGGGAATTAACAACAAAGAAAAAAAATTAAAACTAAAGAAACAGGAGAGAGGGAGATGAAGACAATAATGAATTTGGTCAATAATAACCACCCAGAGATGGAGCATATGAAACCTCTTAGTACCTACCTGCAGTGTCTCATTTAATCCTTGAGCATCGTGAAGCAGTCAAATAACAGAGAGAGAGAGGGAGAATGGGGGGGAGGGGGGGAGGGGAGAGAGCAAAGGAGGAGACGATTCCGGCAGGCCCTGGAAGGAAGGTGGCTGAGTCTAGAGGGAGGAGGAGGTGATCCTGAAGGGGTAGAGAGGGAGGGGCAGCAGGTCCTCCGGACTCACCGGTAGAAGCCAGAAGCAGCAGGGAGGTTAAAATCCTGAGGCAGCCCCCACCCAGGGCTGGGGGGGTTCTGGACACAAGCATGTCCAGTGGGGGTGGGGCCACGGCCTGGCGAGCTGTGCCGTGCCGGCCACAGGAGTGTTCAGAGTTCCCTGCAGGTCACCCCTGGTTTTATCCTCGGAGGCGGAATGCTGTCGGACCTGTCCCCCCAGTGAGTGGCTCAGTCCCTGCCACTCGGGGCTGTAGGTCACCAGAAGGGGTGGGGCTGCCAGGAGGAAATGAGCCTTAACGGGAACTGGGGGGCTCTGGCCGAGACCCCTGCCTCTGGACTGGACCAGTGGACCCGGGCTCTGGATCTGGGGCTCAGGACACCAGCTCCAGCTGTGGGCCCAGTATCTGGCCTCAGGAGGGCAGGCTCGGGAACCTGGAGCATGGCCTTGACACTGACCATGGAGTTGGGGGGTGCAGAGAAAGGTGCTCATAGCTTGAAAGGAAGGGGGTCCAGGTGGGGAAAGGCAGGTGCTCAGACCCAGGAGGCTCAGGTATGAGGTCTTGGAGAGGCCCCAGGGCTTTGGGGAGGGAGGGGGGGCAGCCAAGGGGATTGCCCAAAGGCTCGGCAAGGCCATTCCTCCAGGGACCAGCTGACCTGACTCAGCCAGGGGAACTAGCCCAGCCCGGGGCTCTGGGATCCCGTTAACCCTCTTACTGGAAAGCCATGAATCAGGCCCCCAGTGGCTGCCAGTTCTGGGGCGACCTTCCTGTGGGCCCTGTCACTCAGAAGCCCTGGGACTCACCCTCCTCACCCTTCACCTGGGCTCCCAGGAAGCGTGAGTGGGCGGGGCCGCCAGGTGCTCTGTGGCTATGGCTTAGGAGGCTGCCTGGAAGGGGCTGGGAGACAGGGTCTCCCTCATCTGCCCCACCCCTGCCCTCCTGAATCCGAGACCCCCACCCTGAGGGCAGGTCTTCCCTGACTCAGCGCCCACACTGGACTCCCCACCCCAAGCAGGAGGAGCAGGCTGCTTCCGCCTCTGAAACAGCCTGCATCTCTGTCCCTTCTCTCACTTGGTCAACACCCCTCAAGCTGGGCCCTCGCTACGCCTAGGGAGCGGGCAAGACGAATGACAATAGCAGCTGGCAGTTTTCAGTGCACCAGGCGTCACCTCATTTTATCCTCGAATTCCCGTGTTATTGTCCCATCCTGCTGATGGGGAAACTGAGGCCACTTAGAAAGGTTAGGGACGTGCCCCAGGTCCCCCAGCTGGCGCGTGGTGGAGCTTGGAGTTGAAACCTGAGCCCGAAGACAGGCAACCGGACTAGACTCAGTGGAGCCTGGGGACCTCAGCCCAGTGGATGGATACTGGTCACCAGGGGTCATCTGTGAGCGTGGGTGGGGGCCTCAGGAGCCCAGAGGAGGCACCTGGCTCCCCTCAGGGGGCCAGTGAAGGAGGGCCTTGAAACTGAGGCCTGGAGAGGAAGTTGAAAGTAGCCCAGCAGAGGCAGGGCAGAGGGAGTGAGTGCGGGGTGACTCTGGGGCTGGGGTGCAGAGGGACAGGGTGCTGGGAAGGGGCTGGGAGCTGCTACACCAGATCCTCAGCTCACCCCAGCTGAATCAATGTGTTCTCCCCCAGAGCCTGCCCACCTCCTCTCCGCTGGTGCGGGGAGGG